ATACGGATGACCTGTTTTTCTAGGCTTTATTGATGATAATGGTCAAGAATGTTGGACCATCATTGCCTTGGCATATAAGCAGAGGACACAAACTAGCCAGAAAATCATGTGTGAATTCTGCAGTAGACTAAACCAAAAAAAAAAAGGTCAGCTTTTTTTAGCTAGTGTACTGTTTTTTTTTTTTTTTTTTTTTTTTGGCTTTTATTCTTGCTATAATAAAAAAATATGTTGGTAGAGCAACCCATGTTCTGTTGTCATTGATATTTAACTTTAATAGGCAGAACTGTCCAAGATATGACAAGTGATGCATCAGAGTTTGATTTAAAGAAACCTTGAATGGTTATAAAATCTTTATAATCATTAAAACAAATAATAAAAAGAATACAAAAAAATTAGTTTAAAAATCATGAATGATATTAATGATATGACGTAGTTACGGAAACTTCCTACTTCAACGTTTATCTGTCCGACTTTACGGTGGGTTTCTTTTGGCTGCCCCTGTTGTTTTAAACAATATCTTAACGGCGAATACATCACCTTCAAAAGCCTCGTCCATTTTGTAAGATGCATGCACAGTCAGTGCAGGTCTGCGACATGGTGCCAGGCAAAAATATAAATTAGCCTTAACATACAAACCAATCTCATGTTGCACAGTCTTATTATGTGCCAAAATTATAGATTTTTATTTAATCCAAAAAAATCATTGGGATATTAGGTAAAGGTCATGTTACATGAAGACATTTTATAGATGTCTTACCATTGATATTTCAAACTTCTGAATTTTATTAGTAATCTGCTTTGCTCAGGACTTCATTTAGACAGCTTTAAAGGTGATTTTCTCAATAGTTTGATGTTTTTGCACCCTCAAATGTAAAAAGTTGTATCTCGGCCAAATATTGTCCTATCCTAACAAACCATACACCAATGAACAGCATATCAAATCCACTTTCTAAAATCAAAATGCCAAATGCTTTAACCTTATTTGTGGTCCAGGGTCACATATCATCATCTTAATTCCAGGGTGGAATTCAGATCTTTAAAGCCTCATTCACACAACAAGCGACTCGCAGCAAAGCAACAAGCGACCGTCCATATGAACGGAGAGCGAGTGACTTCCGGCAACCTCCGTCTACGTGAGCGACAGCGATCGTTGGCTACCAGGTGGGCGTGTTAAACGATGTGACAAAATTGAGAATCCTTTAACTTTATGCAAATGAAGAGCGACTTTCTCGACTGACAGCCAATATGAGCACCAGTAGAGCTCATGTGATTCTCTCAGCTCGCTTAGAGGCCATTTGCATTCGTGCTCACAGACCTGCGTTTGCAGCAGGTTGCCACCCAGAGTGACAGGCAGCTACAAAGTGGCTGCTAGTCTGAATAAGGCATAAGGTCTCAAAACTCAGGGCTTCAGGTACACTCAAAAAAATCAACTAGGCATGTATTGGATATACAAAATAAAAATTTGTCAGATTGAAAAGAACAAATCAAGTTTACGTATGTTAAATGATTAATTCATGTTATTTGAAACTGAATCAAGAAATAATCAAATGAATTTGATTAGAACATGTTGATTCAATGAGACTGAGACGCTTCAAATCGACAACTCTCACTCTGGAGAGTCACTTCGCACATATCAGTAGGTGGCGGTAGTGCGTTTGGATGTCACCATACGAAAACAACAAGAAGAAGTATTACCGCGTGTTTTCGGCACAGTTTGGGAATTGGTTTTCCCAAGAGCTTGAATGTTATGCATGTTATGTGGTTGGCTAAATGTTTCTTATACATTTTATATTACATATTACAATTTTGGATATTATATAACATTTTGTATCAGAATATTAAAGAAGAAATTTGTTTAAATGTGATTGGTGCCTGCTAAAGGCTATAATAAAAGAAATATATATATATATATAACATGTTTTCTGTCCTTTTTGTGTTGAATTACTTAATTTTAAATCTTGCTTCATAGTATTGTAATTTTAAAAAATGTAATTTAAACAACACGTTCGCCTCACAGCAAAAAGGTTGCTGGTTCGAACCTCGGTTCAGTTGGTGTTTCTGTGTGGAGTTTGTATGTTCTCCATGCCTTCGCGTGGTTTTCTTCCGGGTGCTCCGGTTTCCCCCACAGTCCAAAGACATGTGGTACAGGTGAATTAGGTAGGCTAAATTGTCCTTAGTGTATGATTGTGTGTGTGTGAATGTTTCCCAGATGGGTTGTGGCTGGAAGGGCATCCACTGCGTAAAAAAACTTGCTGGATAAGTTGGCGGTTCATTCCGCTGTGGCGACCCCGGATTAATAAAGGGACTAAGCCGACAAGAAAATGAATGAATTAATTTAAACGACAATATTGAACAAGATATTTACTAGCTGATTTAACAAGACATAATTTTGTTAAAGTAAAGCTTTAGTGTTACATTGAGTAAATTAGAATCATTTTAATTAGAATAACACAATACAAACATTTTGAGTCAATTAGTTGCAAAGAAGTTAGACTGACATATTGAAACCATGTTTTATCTACAAATGTGCTTTGTGTTCATACAACATGTTCAAAGCAGTTCAGGTTTACTTGATTGGATTAGATGCATAAAGGGTGCCACGATTAAATCATGTTCATTCAACAATTTTTTTTTTGAGTGTAGTTCCCAGAATAGCGAAGTCTACTAAAGGAGGTCGAGCATTCTTATTTATGGTTCCTAAACTCTGGAATAGCCTTCCTGATAATGTCTAAGGCTCAGACACACTCTCAGTTCAAAACTCGATTAAAGACCTATCTTTTTTAGTAAAGCATAAACATAATGCATCGCCTAATGGTATGATGCATGAGTGGAGCTTCACAAATCACCTGTAGGACATACTCCTACTGTCTTAATACACCTGTTTTTTTTGTTGTTGTTAGAAACACTCATATGCTTTATATGTTTGTTTCTTTGTTTGTTTATAAAACTGCTATTTTCATTTATAACACCAACATATTTTCATTGATATTTAATATCTCTTGTTCCAATTCATTATGAACACAAAATTTTTCTTCCTCTATTTCCACCCAGGGATGCTAATCCCGAGGCCAATAGAAGATCATGAAGCGCCATTCATGTGATCTAAGACCTGTGAAAAGATGATGCCAACCATCGATGACCTCAGGGACAACCATAGACTGTAAAATATATGGACGTAGTATCCGTGACTTCACACATATGTTTCTAAAGATCGCAAAAGAAGCCACAAGTAGGCGCGGCCAACCGTCGACATTTTGTTCGCGCGTCATCACACCCACGATGAGATACCAAACAAGGGCAAAAAGGCGGAGAGTGAGCGGAGCTACAGACACTGCTGGCAGTTTGCTTGGACCTGGTTCAGACACACTTTACTTTGGGACAACGCTTAATACTTTATCACCTGCGACTTGTTTGTATTCTGACCACTTGTGCTTGCTTGTATACTATATCAATAAAGTGTTTAGACTTAAAAACACTGCTGTAATACATTGAGCCACTAAACGTTGTTCTTATGATGTTTTTCAACAGGAGGAAAACGCGAATTACTTCCAAACACTTCAGATATAGTCTGTGTTAGTTAAGGTAAGACTATTGATGAAATCCAGCATAACACTGTATGACAACGCTTCAGATGACTGTTCAAGAGCCTACAGCTAATCAGTCCGTCAGATTCTGGAGTGCATTACAGCTCTAATATAAAAATAAACGATAAATGATCTTAAATAAAACAAATACATGTATAGAGATGGTATATACGTATATAACTTTACTCACATGGGAAACGGAGGCCACGTGAATGGTTTTTGAGCACAATTAAGTGCACTCAACATGCCATGCCATCTAATAATTGTAGGAAACAAGTCCAAAAGGCAGTCGACTGTGTAAAGCCACATAAAACAATACAGAAATACGATAAATATGCAGAGTTCAGTGGCTAATCTACAGGAGTCAGCTGAGGTGACGTGACGGCGACCAGAAAGACCTAGCTGTCAATCAAGTGGCCACGCCCTTAATTATGCAAACTAAATATAGCCTAAAATAAAGAAAACTGATGAGTTATAAAAAAATTCACCCCCCTCACAGTTGTCATGAAGGATAATATTAGCTGTATTAACCAAAATCTGTTTTTGTACCGGGCTGTAAACACCTTTTTTTGGCTGTAAAGTTGGCCATTCTAACAGTGGGCTCCATTGAAATTTGCTCTATTTTGGAGCCAGGAGCGGCCAGGACTAGCGGAATCTCAGATGAACTGCAGTTTTAGTTACTTCCGTATTGGCTTCCTGAGGGAGAACGGGAGGTTGCCGCTTGGGGACAACACATATGAAGAGATGATGCCAAACATCGAGGACTTCGAGGACAACTCATACACTTAATACACAATAAATTTGTAGGTTAACTATATAACTTATATTTGACTGTAACTTTAACTTCATTTGATTGTAATGTCATAATGTGCACCTTTTTAAAGCTGCTTTGAAACAATAATTATTGTATTGTATAAAGCACATTACATAAACTTAAAATGAATTAATTTAAGACATTGTATGTTAAATTCTAAATATACTGTGCATCAATATATACATCAAATAAATATATGTATCTTGATATAATGATGCTGACTTATATTATTACAAAGACTTAAATATGCTAATATATATATATATATATATATATATATATATATATATAAGGTATTTAGGATGCAGTTCTGGATGCAGTTCTTTGATCGACAGAAAATGTATAATAAATATATGAACAAAATTTATCTAAAATAATAATAATAATAATAATGAATCAAACGGAATTGTTAGTGTAAGTGTAATAACCACCACAGCTCTTTGTTTAAAAGAGCACAGTGTGTAAAAAAGTGTCCAGTTGTTCTAGTGTCTCACAGAACATTGGGATATTATGCACATTTAATTAAAGTGAATTGACAGTGAAAGAGAGAGAGAGAGAGAGTGAGAAAGAGAATGAAGTAGTGCATCAGTGATCAGCCTCACCTCATTAACTGATACATAGTAACGAGGTTGCTGGAAACGAGGCGTGTTGTCATTTCTGTCCCTCACCACTATCCGTACTTCATGCAGAATAACCGTTCCCACCAGCTCATTGGTGCACTGGATCTGAACCACGATGGTAGTGATGGAGCTTGGCGGCTGGAAGAAGAGCACATACATGTACAAGGCTTTAGAGGATAACAGAGAACACTCACACAAACAATCAGAAGTCTGGAATAATTCAATTTATTTTGATCACCAAAGCTGAATTTCCATTCTGAAAATATACAGTAAAGCAGTAATGATGTGGTACATCTTTGCAATTTAAAGGGGATCTGTTTTGCCCCTTTGTAAAAGATGTAATATAAGTTTCTGATGTCCTTAGAGTGTGTATGTGAAGTTTTAGCTCAAAATACTACTGTCACTACTAATGTTTTATAACTCTTTGAAATGGCCGCTTTTAGGCTTTGATCCTAATTATTGTGTCATTTTGGTGACTATACTGTAGCTTTAAATTCAAATGAGATTGAGGTCTTTTTTAAAAATAGGGTGAAGCTACAAATACCTGTTTGTCAGCATAGTAGCAGATGTAAAAACGAGACTAATGTCTTATACTAATGAGGAGAAATTATTGCAAATAAGGGCTTTTACCCTCTGATGACAAATGTGGGAGATGTCAATCAAAGTGTTTTGTTGACTGCTTTTGATTATGTGTGATTATCTATCTATCTATCTATCTATCTATCTATCTATCTATCTATCTATCTATCTATCTATCTATCTTTCTATCTTTCTATCTATCTATCTATCTATCTATCTATCTATCTATCTATCTATCTATCTATCTATCTTTCTATCTATCTATCTATCTATCTATCTATCTATCTATCTATCTATCTATCTATCTATCTATCTATCTTTCTATCTATCTATCTATCTATCTATCTATCTATCTATCTATCTATCTATCTATCTATCTATCTATCTATCTATATATATACACACACACACACACACACACACACACACACACACACACACACACACACACACACACACACACACACACACACTAATTTATTATAAATAAATAGATAAGGGGAAAAAAAAAACTTTATAGTACTTCTTCTTTGATTTGTTTCATGTTTTATGCATTTTATGTTGTTTTATTCCTTCCTTGTATCATTTTTATACAATTTGCGTACAGCATAAAGGTCAATGACTGTTGTATTGTGCTATACAAAAAAATAGGTAAATTAAAGTAAACATATATACTTTAGAAAATATATACACATATTTCAAACTACTATACACTACCAGACAAAAAAGTCTTGTCGCCTATGCAAGTTTTAGGAACAACAAAAAATAACTTGACTTCTAGTTGATTATTTGGTATCAGAAGTGGCTCATATGACAGGCAAATGCCTCTAGATTCCGCTTATTTTACCAAAATAAAATATGATCAAGCCTTGATTTTTAATTATTAAAATAGGACAGAAAGCTCTGACTTTGCTCAGACAAAAGTCTTGTCACTTAACAGAAATAATGTACAGTGTAGAATATAAAGTCATGGTGCAGTGGAAACAGAATGAATATTGTGTATGACTCCCATGAGCTTAAACGACTGCATCCATACATCTCTGCAATGACTGATATAACTTATTAATAAAGTCACCTAGAATGGCAAAGAAAGCATTCTTGCAGGACTCCCAGAGTTCTTCAAGATTTATTTTTAATGTCTCCTTTATCTTACCCCAGACATGCTTAATAATGTTAATGTCTAGTGACTGTGCTGGCCAATACTGGAGGACCTTGACCTTCTTTTATTTCAGGAACTTTGAAGTGGAGGCTGAAGTATGAGAAGAAGTGCTATCCTGCTGAAGAATTTGGCCTCTCCTTTGATTTGTAATATTATGGGCAGCACAAATATCTTGATACCTCAGGCTGTTGATGTTGCCATCCACTTTGCAGATCTCTCGCATGCACCCATAATGAATGTAACCCCAAACAATGACTTTTCCTTCACCAAACTTGACTGATTTCTATGAGAATCTTGGGTCCATGCAGGTTCCAATAGGTCTTCTGCAGTATTTGTAATGATTATGATGCAGTTCAACAGATGATTCATCATAAAAACCTCTCGACCTTCTGCCACTTTTCCAATTGATCAACTAGAAGTCCAGTTATTATTTGCTGTTCTAACAACTGGGATTGACGACAAGACTTTTGTCAGGTAGTGTATTTGCTGTACTGGACTATTCAACCCGGGCTCATTGTGGAAACGTAGCCCCGCGGACGTTTCTGCCCACCGCGATTTACGTCCCGGGAGGTACGTATTTGAGCGTTTTTTTGTTTTCGCGGATCCGCGAGAGGCCGCTGTGCGCGCTTTTTCGCGTCTCGGGCGCCTCTCGGGAGCGCGCGGTGTTCGCGCCCGCGCCGTTCTGGCGCGAAAAGCCGCCGGATCGGAAAAAAGAAAGCAAAAGCCCTCGTTTTCGATTTCGACCGCGTTTTCGGATCCTGCCGCGTTCTCGCCCTTATTTTATTAGATTCCGTTTTTCGTCTTATCTGATTTCCGGAACCTGCTGTTCCCCGGACTCGATCCCGGTCGTCGTCCACCGCGGCCTGCTCCGGCTCCTCCTCCGGGGCCTCCACCCCGCCGACGCAACGCTGTGAGCTAAGCGGACAAACTGATTGCATCGGGAAAGCCCTCCACTCGGAGGCGAGCCGTCGGCCGGCGAGCACGAAGAGGAGGGGCGGAGCGGCGCCACACCGCCCCGCAGCGTTCGCTCGAAAAAACCAAACGTGGCCTTTACGTACCTCCGGCCACGTAAATCGCGGTCTCCAGAAACGTCCGCAGGGCTACGTTTCCAGAATGAGCTTGGGTTGGGACTATTTTAAGGCTAAAAATCCCTTTTCATTTGTGGCTCATTTACAGTACATTCAGGTCTATATGTGGCAATACAGAAGCAATAACCAGTCAATAACTTTATAGTTTGCAGCATTAGTAATAAGAGCCTGAACAACACATCCAGCAGTGGCATCTCTGTATGTGTGAATACACACAATTACACAACCGGATGTAACAATGTAAACAGGATTAATGTGAAGCCTGTTTATTCTCTTGAGTATAAATCAGATGCCTGGCCTGATGTGCTGGGAATAAAACAAACAGTGGAGTTTCTCGGTGAAGTGTCTGAATCCCACAAAGCCTCCCGAAGAGGACGAGGAGGAGGAAGTGGAGGGATTGTCCTATAATCATCCTCAAATATAGTGTCAGAAAAAGACCTGTCAGCACCACAACGCTTCTTTTTCCAGCACACAGACACACGTGTGACTCTTTATAGACGAGCGGTGTAATGTACAGACAGACAGTTGAAGAGGGATGAGATGAAACTTGTGGAAAAGAGGAGCGGAATCACAATCCTCCTATGGAGGCTGTAGGAGTAAAATATGCTACTTTTTTAGTCTTCATGAAGAACTGGCTGTTTTTATTCTCTAAAACAGTATAGTATTGGACTTTGAGGGCCTTTTAAAATTAAATGTAAAGAAATAATTAATTAAAGAGACAATCACATTTCCTCAGCTTCTATGTAACTGCAACTGCACTGAAAACCCTAATGGGTTGACTGAACTAAATTGAGTAAACTCGTTGCCTCAATTTAATTTGCTGGTTTTGTAGAATATACTTAAATTGTTCAGTTCACTAAACTTAGTACTAAATTTGGTGAACTGAACCATATAAGTATAGTCTACAAAACCGTCAAGTTAAATAAACTTAAATATGCGCGTTTAGGGAGACTCTATTGCTCAATTAAATTGAGGCAACGAGTTTACACAAATAATTGAGCTCAGTCAACTTATTAGGGTTGTCAGTGGACTTTTTTTTTTTTTTCCCTCCATGGAATAATGGAAATAAAAATGCTGGTCACTGATTCGAAATAAAAACGTTGAAATATGTTGTTCTACTTTTGCATTGATTTAACATTTTGCAGATAAGTGAGAAATGAAACTTCATTGTGATGGTATCCAAAACATCAAATCTTATTCAGACAGCATACCAATACATTTCCCAAACATTCAGTTATCTGGACAATAAGGAAGTCCTTAGGCTGAGCTAGATTTAGCTAAATGCAAGATTTCCCAACTAGGACTTCACAAAACAAACAGTTTATAGCAGCTCCAAGAAACCATGCTTCTGTCTACCACACCTGAATCTCTTCTTCATTCACCTACTTACCTATTATATATTCCAGAGGTCTGAACAGCGCCCTCTAGTGCTCTCTTTTTTTCCATTATTCCATAGATAACAAACAAAAACAAGTGACAGACATTTCATTCTGTTAAAAAAAATTAAATAAATAATATATATATATATATATATATATATATATATATATATATATATATATATATATATATATATATATAGTTACGTATGGACCTTATTCTAAAATACGCACGCACGCTTGTTTTTGATATCGTTCCTATTCAGTTGCCTATGGGAGAATCGACTAGGATTAACAAATGGCAAAAAACGGTCAAACGACTTGCTCTACAAACAAATGTGTTCATGACTATACAAAAAAAGCAGATTAATATTATAAGAAAAGGTCAATTTGCAACATCAAGGAGCATAATGAGCTGTTTTGAACTTCTAAAAATGAATGGAAGTAAATGAGCCTGGAAGTCTCGAGCCAAAAAGATTCAAATGGCTGCGTCCGCTCGTACACGGTCAATAGTATTAATAAAAATCTAAAAGATATTTAAAATCTTAAAATTTCTATATATATATTTTATAAAACAATTAATTCTGTTAAAAATAAGCAATTATATATATATATATATATATATATATATATATATATATAGAATGTCAAATTTACTCAGTTCAGAATTTTTGGCCCCTCTTCAAATTGAGTTAATGTTACTCAGCAGTTAAAGTTGATAGGCACTAATGATGAACACCTGCTGCTAATAAGCAGAAACACAGAAGAGGAAAAAACTACAACTGATTTCAGTCCAGCCTAAGATAAAATTAACTGAAATAAAAAAAAAAAAAAACTTGAGGTGTGAACCTATACTGGTCTCACGATTGGGTTCGGTTGCGATTATCATGTCATCGATACGGTTCAATTCGATATCTCGGAGCATCACGGTGCATTGACGATGCTTTTCATGCACAGTGTTGTATTTTGGGGGGTGGCTATAACAAGCTGTCTGTATAAACACACACACACACCACGCGCGCTTGCTTGTGATATTGTGATATTGTGAGTCCGCCCAATCCTCTTAAAATTACACCAGAGTTACCGACTGCTCACACGATTTATTTGGAAATTTATTCCCGTGCCGCGACAATGCACAGGTACAGCTGCGGAATGCATACAGCCGAGAGGAAAAGTCACGCCAGCAGGTGAAATGGGCCACAGTGAAAGAGAGAAATGGAGGTTACTTTCATTCCCTCAATCGCAGAGAAATAGGGGCTTCTGTTGGAAGTGTCAGTAAAAGACTGTCCAGAAATCACACACACACAGTGAAATTGTGCACAGTTTCTGCATTTTTAAGTAGTTGGTGCCTGGAGTGTTTGAAATACACGCACTCAACTCCCTCGCCACAGAGCGCAAATGAGGTAAATGACGTCAGTACATAATAACCGGTTATGATTATTATTGAACCGATACCAAATTGTCCGTGTCTGCATCGCGGTGCACTGAAGTAGCAATTGATTTTGACACCCCTAAAAAATAAAATTGAATCTCTCAAAATCTCAGCCTATGATTTTAAAGCAACTCTACAAACAGCAACTTTTACAACCAGTTTGACCTTATTTCTGCTAGACTCCAAAAAATTCCATATTCAAATATTATTAAAAATTAACTGATTAAGTATTTTTTTTACAACAACAATAAAAAAAATAAATGACACTACTTTTGGTATTTTAAAAGGTCCCCATTGAGGAGAACACTAGTTGCTTTACTTGGGCACTTCGATTAGATTTTTTCCTAATGGTAGTTTCGCTTTGCTTGTCATATAGTGTGTTATTACAATTGATGCATAAAGACAGCAAATGTGATCAGGATAATTGATTCTGTGGTGATTTAGTCACTGGTCAAATCGGTAAGATTAATTTTGATCTGTTTAGTTTGAATGATGTTTTTTTTTATGTGTATCAAGAGAATGGAACTCAGCAATACTTTTATCAAATTATAAAACATGTTGAACATCGGAAATGCTCAAAAAACACTGACATAGGCTGTTTCTCAATTCCAAGAACGCAGAGAACGGACTTGTGTTCTTCTGGAGACCGGTCTTGCCAGGTGTCCTCGGAAGAACGAACTCAGGAGACCGCGAGGGCAGAGAATGCGTCCTTTGAGAAATGAGATGCTGCGTTCTTCCTGATGGTCACGTGACCTTCATGTCTTTTAAATGGTAAATTATTTAAACATTACAGCCTTCATACAACAATTTATTGTTATTCCCTTTTCAAAATATATACTTTGCATAAAAACATTATAAATCTATGTTGCACAATATGAATAAAAAAGATTTTAATACGAATTTCAGCAAACAAACACCCTTAATGTGTTTATTCCTTTATTAAGATGTTCATGGTAATGTTTACTTTCACCGTTTCATTTAGGGAAACTCCTGAGGTAAATAAGTGATATCTCTGAACTTTAATAATAAATCTAAATAAAATGCTGCGCTTCCCACCTCCAGTCGCAATGACTTCTGGGACTTCCAGAGCAAGTTCGGTGCTCAAGTCTGCATCGTTGCGTCTTCGATATCAAGATCACATCCGGGAAGTTTCACGCGTCCTCCGTACTTGCGGTCTTGATTATTGGAACTAAACTTGGGCAGCTGATGATGACGTTGCACGAGAACACGAGGACGCAAGACCGCTGAAGAACGCATATTGAGAAACAGCCATAAAGAATCAGCGTATGCTTTTTGGAAATAATGGGCTGTGCACAATAAGTGAAGCTGCTGCTGTTTGAAATCGGTTGTAGTTTTGTGTTTCTCTTCTGTGTTTCTGCTCATTACCAGCAGGTGTTCATCATCAGTGCTCAATTATCACTTAATTAATCCCTTCATTGTCTCATTAACTTTAACTGTGTTGCTGAGTAACTTTAACTCAATTTCATAAGGGATCAAATGATGAGTTCAGATGCAAAAACCTCTAAATGCCGTCTGAAATGTTCTCCGAAAATGAGAATTTTTCACAGCCTCCTATGTTTATGTTCTGTTATTTCACTTGAAAGGCAATGGAAAGAACTTATCCGTCGATATAAATGTAAAATTACTGAGCCAACACACAGGAGTTGGGTGAAAATGCTAATTTTAGAAGAAAATATCAAATGGCTTTTAGAGGTTTTTGCATCTAAAGTCTTCAAATACTATCTGAAGTGAGTAAATTGAGGATTTTGCTGTGTATATATACCATGGGCATATGGCTATGCACAGACTCATGGGCATATTTTCCACCATGGGGACCTAAATTGGCAACTCCATGGTGACAAATACTTACAAATCACACAGAATTAAGTATTCTCGTATTTTTGAAATTGTAAAACAGACTGTTTTCTGTGACGGTCAGGTTGGGGACATAATATACAACGTGTACAGTATGGAAATCACATTGTATGGCCATGGAGAACCCCCATCAGGATAGTAAAACATAGATTTGTCTGTGTGTGTTTATGGCAGTCTGTTTATGCCAACCAAAGGACAACAGCAGCCTCATGTCGTTTGTGAGTGAATGAATGTGGTTGTTTACTCACGTCTCGGTCCAGCACACGTCCGGTGCTGTTGAGGAACAGTCTCTGCAGGGCAGGGTCAAGAATAACCCAATAGTCATAGTTGTCCAGCAGTGTCAGAGAGATGGTTCTGTCTGGATCCCGAGCTCGACCGTTGATCTGCATGTTTTCCACCAAAATCGTACCTGACAGAACAGATGAAAGGAAGAAAGAGTTCAATCCAGGTGCATAAAGGGAGACGGACTACTCAAACATTTAAAATAGGAATGTTAATGTCCACAAATTCCCCAAATCAATCAATTTGTTGATTAATCAGTGGCACATTGTATGGCAGGACGTATATATGACATTCAAAACACAAGCATTCTCACACAAAGAAAATGACTTGTACTTTATATATCACAAACACCTAGTCAAACTGTTAAAAAAGAAATAGAATACAACCCTTTAGTAAAAAAAAATTATAGTTTTTCTCTTTAGTGAGAAAAAACTGTAAAATAACAACAAAACACACACACAGTAGCCTGATGTGTACATGTACTATACATTCCCTCATTTTCTTTCGGCTCCCTTATTTATCAGGGGTCGCCAACTATTCCAGCATATGTTTTAAACAGCGGCTGCTCTTCCAACTACAACCCAGTACTGGGAAACACCCATACACTCTAGCATTCACACACACTCATACACTACAGCCAATTTAGTTCATCCAGTTCACCTATAGAGCATGTCTTTGGATTATAGGGGAAAACAGAGCGCCCAGAGGAAACCCACATGAGCACAGGGAGATCATGCAAACTCCACACAGAAATGCCAACAGCTGCTATGCCACCGACAATATACTATACACACACACACAAACATATATATATATATATATATATATATATATATATATATACACACACACACACACACACAATTAATGAATGTATGTATATTTAGTCAAAGCATGTTGCAATTCTGTTAGTGTGTAAACCACAATTTTCAGCCTAATCTTGACTTTAACAAAATCAATCGCAAATCTAATCGCAATATCGGTCAAAATAAATCGCAATTTCACTAAATCGCTCAACCCTACCCAAAACGTGAAAATGATACCTGTGCCGAGTTAAAACTAGCAAAAAAAAAAAAAAAACATGCATGTCCAGTCTGGCGGTTTAAAGCATTGAGTGTATGATAAGGCCCAACACTAGAGGAAAGCATAAGCAATGTAAAATTACATATCATACAGTAAGTACTTAGTTGATTTCTCAAGAATAAACAATGGTCGTAAATGAGCATTCTCTCCTGGCTCATAAATATCTGTGTATGAGAGGCTGATTATGTAAGAATGTGAAGGTCATAATTTCAGCATGTGTTAATGTATGGTTGGCTGAGTTCTCTCCTCTCCTCCGAGATAATTAAACTTCATTTTATGCTTCAATGTGTTGCAAATTATTTCAACTCATTTTGAATCCCTGCAGAAAAACACACAAAATAATCAGCCGTCACAGAGCATGAACAGAACAGCGTCCAGCGATATTCAATTACACTTAGAGGTTCTACAGTTTACTCCCAAGAAAGGTCCAGAAGATCATAACAGACACATTTGTAAACTAAATGAATATTTGGAATGGATTCATTTAGAGTCACTATCTGAATTAACATTCACCTGAGAGCCAGATTAATCTAAGATTTTTTAAAGAGACTATTGGAAAAAAGACCCAGGAATAGTATGTAATTCATTGTAAATCTTAAGCTTGGCAAACAAAGCAACTTGCAAAAGGAAATAATAAATACATTCCTAAAATTATTATCTGATTATATTCTAATCTGATAGCTGTATTGTGATATCCTGCAATGACAGCACTCGTACAGCAATCCTCAGCATTCTGTATTATTCCACCCTCATAGAGTGACAGTAGGTCAATACACTCATAACAGTTTGACAAATATTGCAGCTGTTGGACAACATAATGTACTTTTAAGGCTTTTTTAAGTAAGAATGTAGATGTTTAGATTGCAACTATGCAGTTTATTTATAAGGATAGTGCTTCTTTTAAATATTTCAGCGTTTCAGCAGCCATCAGCCCATCATACTGAGCAGAGCAAAGACAGTTGACGTCCTGCCACAAGTAGGCGACAGAGACCACATAATAAGCTCTTAGAGGAGGAAAACCCAGCGTTTTCTTTTCGTATTTCAAACTACAGCTGATCAAATCATTATAAAATAGGTAAGTGAAATTCTAAGCCGATCTCTGTCTTTGTTGTAGTGCTGTATTCATGCTCATGCTATTAATCTGATAGTGCTTGCTTTGACTATTTCAGGTTTAATTATAGTGATCTTCCGATTGCAACAGAGAAATACTGTACAAATACTGAACATTTCATAGAGTTCAGCCTTATAATCTTAAAATGTCAGCAAAATCACCTGTAATGTCATCACTTTAAACATTACGCTAGAGAATCATTCAAATCCTAGCTCTAAAGTGATGTGCTTTTAATCAATGGTTTCTGCTGTTCTGGTGTCAGCTGCAGATGTGAATGGTGGAATAAAGTAGTTCCTCTTATGAAAGGATTTTTGAGACTCTCTGTGTTGGATTTTCTTTATTATATACACGATTATTCAATCAAACTGTTGTATAAACAAAATATCACACGTAGCATTGCGATATGGCTGTATATAATCACTGGTGGGACACTAAGGCACTCAGCCTGTGGCCTCGAGCCAATGCATGCCTTCCACCTGTGCTGATATATAGCCATATTGCACTGCAACTCGTGTGATATTGCTTATAAACACTCACAAAAAGGAACTCATACAAAAGAAAAAAACATCAAACATTTCAAATGAATGTACTTAAAATAATTATAAAAAAAAAACAAATAAAAATAACCATAATAAATAAATAAATAAATAAAATACACATATTTCAGATACAATACTAATATAAGTAGTAATGGCAAATCCTATTTTCTCAGAAAAATAATAATAATAAAAAATGTATACTAAACCATAAAAAAATCAGTATTGTATTGTATTGTAATGTAAATGACTGTCTATAAAATATGCATTTGGAATAGGATGGGCTATCATTCTCCTGAGTGCTTGTTTTTAAGGGGACTAATTTGAAAGAAAGGAAAACATTGAAAAAAAAATAGAGAGAACTATTACTAAAAAAGTAGTCACACTAGTCTATAATACAATGTGCACAGCAAATATAATAGACCGATTTCTTTAAAAAACAAATGCTGCTTAAGATTTAAGAAAAACTGAAATATGCAAATGCAATGCTTCATTAATAAGCATAAAAAAATCAACAAACAAACTGTGTCTTCAATTAGCACAAATACAACACATGCTGGCACTTTAAGTGGACAAGAGCGTCTTAAGAGTTTAATGGGATGTGAAAATAAGGTTGTAAATGCACTGTGTAGCTGTGAGAAAAGAACATGTACTGCTTTCTAAACCGTTCTGGGTGAATACGATTGTTTGCGCCAGGGGCCATTCTTGGATTTCAGTCTTAAGGGGAATCAGACTTATACATAAATGGGAGATTTTGTGGACCTGAGGATATGTTTTTTTTTCCCAGCATGAGAAGTCACAAGGGCAAATCTTGCTTGACTGAAAATTGTTTTAACAAACTAATTAAAATTGCAAATCAGTGGTTTGTTTGATTGTACTTAATTTTGTTATTTGAGAAGATAAAAAAGCACAGTGGCTGTTTTATGTTGTAAAATGAAAGAAAAAAACATTTTTATTAATTAAATTTTTTATAAAAAATAAAAAATAAATAAAATGCACAAGACTTGGGGCCAGACCGAATCTGCGTGTGCAGAATTCTGTAGATTTTTAGCCTATCATCGATTCTATTTATTTAAGTAAATCTGTAAATTATATTTTAATCAGTTTCTTGATCAAACTGTATTTACCTAAAATGTAAGTTATGTATTTGAAATAATTAAATTAGTTTTTTAGTCATTAATTTTTACAAACATTTAATAAAAGGTAATCATTTCGATACATTTTTCAAAACATAATTTGCAAAACATTCCTTTCAATCCTACATTCATTCATTTTCCTTTGACTTAGTCTCTATTTCAGAGTTGGCCACAGTGGAATGAACCACCAACTATTACAGCATATGTTTTATGCAGCGGATGTCCTTCCGGCAGCAACCTAGTACAATGCAGTCTCACACACTCATACACTCCGGCCAATTTAGTTCATCCAATTCACCTATTGTGCATGTCTTTGCACTGTGGGAGAAACCGGTGCACTTGGAGGAAACCCACACAAACACAGGGAGAACATGCAAACTCCACACAGAAATGCCAACTGGCCCAGTCGGGACTCGAAGCAGTGACCTTCCTGCTGTGAGGTGACAGTGCTACCCACTGAGCCACCATGCCACCTCTTAATCCTAATACATTAAATCAGTTTGAATAAATATGAAACTATGATTATAAACCCTTAACTGCATCATTTTACACTTGAAAATTATCAGTTAAATTTTGATATGATTTAAAGTTTGTCAAAAAAAAAGAGAAAATAGAGAAAAGAAAAAATGATAAATATGCAGTGAAAAAAACCTCCAACCTATGGGAGAGTGACAGTAAAGGAGTTAATGTTTTGTTTGCACAACAACTCATGTTTGTACAAAATGTACTTTTTGCTGTATTTTAATGTGCTTTTCTTGTCATTAATATGATTTTAAAATGTATAACTACTTTCAATATATATATATATATAAATATTTTTAATCATTTAAAACTGTATATATTCATATTTTTAGTAATGCATTGAATTAAAAGTCAAATATTTGGTAAATGTTAGAACACATACACTACATGACAAAACCGTCTTGCACCTATCTAAATTTAAGGAAAAACACATAATAACTGGACTTCTTGTTGATTATTTGGTATCAGACGTGACTTATATGACAGGCAAAGGCCTCTAGATTATGCTTATTTTACCAAAATAAAATATGATCATTCCTTGATTTTTAATGATTTAATTAGGACAGTAAGGTGTGACTTTGCTTAGACAAAAGTCTTGTCAATTAACATTATTAATTTACAGTATAGAATATAAAGTCATGGTGCAGTGGGAAAAGAAATACATAAATACATAACGACTTTTAAAATGTATATACATATATTTATTAAATAAAAAGTGTTTTAAATGATATGTTTGTTA